TGATCCAAGAAGAATGAAGTCCTTGACAACTTCAGTCTTTTCTCTGGTGATAAAAATGTTGTTTATTGGTCCAGTGGTGAGGATTTTTGTTTTCTTTATATTGAGATGCAATCTATACCAAAGGCTGAGCTCTTTGATCTTCATCAGTAAATATTTTAAGTCTTTTTCACTTTCAGCAAGCGAGGTTGTATTATCTGCATATCGCTGGTTGTTAATGAGTCTTCCTCCAATCCTGATGCCACATTTTTCTTCATCTAACCCAGCTTCTCGGATTATTTGCTCAGCATATAAATTGAGTAAGTATGGTGAAAGAATACTACCCTGTTGCACACCTTTCTTAATTTTAAACCATTCAGTGTTCCCATGTTCTGTTCAACCAACTGCCTCTTGGTTCATGTACAGATTCTTCATGAGCACAATTAAGTGTTCAGGAATACTGATACTTTGTAATGTTTTCCATAGCTTGTCATAATCCACACAATCAAAAGCCTTTGCATAGTCAACAATGCACAGGTAAATATCTTTCCGATGTTCTTTGCTTTCAGCCAAGATCCATAGTACATCAGCAATGATATCCCTCGTTCCACGGCCTTTTCTGCATCTGGAAGTTCTGTCAATGTATGCTTGCAGCTGTTTCTGTATTATCTTTAGTAAAATTTTGCTCACAATGGGATATCAAAGATATTGTCCAATGACTTCCGCATTCCTTTAGGTCACCTTATTAGCACACTGAAAAACTACAGGCATTTTTCAAAACTGTCAACTTACACTTAAATATAATTTATTCAGCTGGAAAATGATACAATTTTTTATAATTAGATAAAAGCTTTATTGTTATATGGAGTCCTGGTGGGCACTGTGTGTTAAAGTGCTGTACTGCAAAGTAATTTGAACTGAAAGGTCAGCAGTTCAAGCTCAGCAGCCACTCCTCAGAAACCCTACACACAGCGGCCGGTGGACCGGCATGCAGGGTATACCCTTAGATTGTTTGAATCATTATATATTCCTTAATGTTTTGGTGTTCATCCAAAAACAACAACAACAACAATGGAAGGAATGGAAGCAAATGCTGCTGACTGTTGAATGATGATGCATGGAAGGGATTGTAATCATGGCAATGAAACGAAACATGATAGGATGAAGCAAAGCTGATGCTCTCCCACATAATATCACTCAATTCACAATAAAAAATTAAAAAAAAAAAAAGAAGCCCTATACAGGGTTGCTATGCTATGGATCACAACCAACTCGACAACACTTTAACAACAGCAGCAATAATCTTATGTAGGAAAGAAAGCAAAAGGTCAGTAAGAATACAAGAAACCAGGAAAAGACTAAAATGGATGTCAGAAGGCCTCTGAAACTTGCTCTCTAGCAAAGAGTTGCTAAAGCAATTGAAAGAAATAAGGAAGTAAAAGAGCTAAATAAACAGAAAATTTCAAAGAGCAGTTCAAGAAGAAAATCTCAAATATTATAATAAAATGTACAAAGACCTGGAGTTAGAAAACCAAAAGGGAAGAACATGCTCAGCATTTTTCAAGCTGAAAAAAATGAAGCAAAAATTCAAGCCTCAACTTGAAATACTGAAGGATTCTATGGGCAAAATACTGAATGATGCAGAAAGCATCAAAGGAAGATGGAAGGTATACACAGAGTCATTGTACCAAAAAGAAGTGGTTGCTGTTCAATCATTTCAAGAGGTAGCATATGATCAAGAGCCAATGATCCTGAAGGAAGAAGTCCAAGGCGCATTAAAGGCAATGGCAAAGAAGCTGGAAAAATTGATGGTATACAAATTGAAATCTCTCAACAAACTGAGAAAGCACTGGAAGCTCTAACTCATCTATACCAAGAAATCTGAAAGACAACTACCTGGCCAACTGACTAGAAGAGAGCCATGTTTCTGTCCATAATAAAAAGAGATGATCCATGTGTACCTGTGCTTTACTGACTATGCAAAAGTTTCATATTGTGTGGATCATTACAAGCAATGGAGAATGAGTATTCCAGAACAGTTAATTGTTCTTATGAGGAACCTGTACACTGACCAAGAAGCAGTTGTTCAAAAAGAACAAGAGAATACTGAATGGTTTAAAATTAACAAAGTGTGCGCAGGGTTGTACTCATTCACCATACTTTTTCAATCTGTGTAGTGAGTACACAATCTGAGAAGTCGGATAATATAAAGAAAAATGGGGCATTTCGATCTGAGGAAGGTTCATTAACAACCTGCAATATGCAGAAGATAGTCTAGCTTGGTGAAAGTGAAGAGGACTTAAAATAGTTACAGATAAAGATCAAAGGCCACAGTCTTCAGTATAGGTTGCACCTCAATATAAACAGAACATAAATCCTCACCACTGGACCACTAAACAACATCCATATAAATGGAGAAAAGACTGAAGTTGTCAACCACTTCATTTTGCTCAGATCAGCCATCAACATTCATGGAAGCAGCCATCAAGAATTTAAACAACGGAGCTTGGGGATGGTGCTGCTGCAGAGCCAGCAGTTTCTGACAGAGCTGACCCGGCTCTTCCAGGAGTGCCGGTTGTTGGTAGCGTTTTCATCACCCTGAAGAAGTATGATGGTTGAACTAAACTCATTCCAAGGAAAGGTACCGTGGACAGCTTTGAGCCTTCTGACAACAAATGTCTGTTAAGAGCAATTGATGGGGAAAAGAAGATCAGCACAGTGGGGAGCTCGAAAGAAATGAGTAAGTTTCACATGGACTATTCAAACCTCCTCAGAGCTAACATGGATGGACTGAAGAAGAGGGACAAAAAGAGCAAGAGTAAGGAGAGCAAAGTGAGGGCTGCTGTACTTCACCAACTGACCATGGAGTTGCTATTTTCCTTTGATTCTTACTATTGACCACAAAGCCACAGTGGCTGTTTTCACATGAGATTTCTCATTTTGGAGGGAGGAAGGGCAGAAGAAGGTATGCAATGTTTACAGGCTAGTTGTGGTAAGGAGTCAGTTAATTTTAGACCTTTAATTAATTGGTCTCTGTTGCATGTTGTATATTCCTGCATTGTACTTTAAAGTCTCAGTAGCCATTTCAGTAAAGGGCGATATATCAATAAACACATCTATTTATCAGTTTTTTTAAAAAAATTTTAATAATGTATTTCAATGGGCAAATCTGCTGTGCAAGAGCTCTTTAAAATGTTCACGAGCAAAGATGTCAGTTTGAGGACTAAGGTACACCTGACCCAAGCCATGGCATTTTCAATAAACTCATATGCATGTGAAAGTTGCACAGTGAGTAAGGAAAGCCACAGAAGAACTGATGCATTTGAACTATGGTGTTGGAGGAGAAAAGAGTATCACTGACTGCCAAAAGAACAAATAGATATATGTTTGAAGTAGTACAACCAGAGTGCTCTGTGGAAGCCAGGATGGCCAGACTTCATCTCTCATAGTTCTCACATATTATGAGGAGGGACTTGTTGCTAGAGAAGGACATCATGTTCAGTAAAGTGGAGGGTCAGAGAAAAAAAGGAAGACCCCCAACGAGATGGACTGGCACAGTGACAGCAGCAATGGGTTCAAACATAGCAACAATTGTGAGGCTGGCACAGGACCAGGCAGTACTTCATTCTGATGTGCACAGGACCACTATGAGTCAGTACTAGCTCAATGGCAATTAATAACAACATTTTAATAATTAAGATTCTGTGTCAACTTGACTAAGGCAGAATTTCCAGAGGTTTAGCAACTGAGATACGCATATCCCATGGTGATGAAACCTAATACAGGCATTGTTATCTCTATGATTGAGTAGCTATCAACAGTCAGTCAATTAAAGGGATGCTTCCTTGGGGGTGTGGCCTCCTCCCAATGTAATGGACACACAGGAAAGACTCTCTGTCTTCCACTGGGGACCTGGGATTCTGCAATTGTAAGCCATTTCCTTAATAAAAACTTACATACATACATATATATATATATATATTTGTTGTTGTTAAGTGCCATCGAGTTGGTTCTGATGCATAGCACCCCTGCATAAGGGTTTCCGAAGAATAGCTGGTGAGCTTGAACCGCCAACCTTGCAGTTCAGACGGCTTTGCAGTCTGGCGCATTAACCCACAATGCCACACCAGAACTCTCTCTATATAATTCAAGAGTCTTCAGAGTTGCTTTTTCATTTGAACAGACATGCAGACCAACCATGGAGATTCATACACACAGAAAAAAAATCTGACAGACTGGTGGTTTGAGATTTGGGGGTACGAAGGTAAGGAAAGTTGGTCCAGCAGAGGAAACCCCTAGTTCAGGATTGAAACTTAAAAGAAAGTGACAAACCCTATGCTTGCTGGTGACCACCTGGGTCTACGTACAGTGGAATTAGGGAAAATACAACAATGAAGACAATGACTGAGTATGGTCATGTTCTAGTGGTACCAGTTGACCTTGAGGTAAGAGGAAGGCTGCCTGGTCTGAAGTTTTGGGAGTTGTGTGAATTCCTGAGCCCACAGGCAATGACCTAGCCCAAGGAGTCTACTGCTGAAAGAGAAGGGGTCAATTGTTGTAAAATACAGGGAGGTGTGTGTGAACTCTCACTCTTGCAGCTGATACCCATTTGACCAGCTAGGGCAAAGCTTACTAGAACCTGACCAGCATGAAGGTAAAAATGTTAGCTACTCAGAACAAGTGTAAACTGCTAAAATTTGACACAAAGGACTTCTGCTTATAAACGCAGGTGCTCAAAATTACAACTGGAATGGAAAATTCTTCCTACCAAGAAGCAGGCTTATCTCCTCAGTATAATGAGTTGATATTGTTGTTTTTAAGTGTCATGTGAGTTTGAAATGTCAACTTTGTGGTTCAAACCAACATTGCTATTCAGTGCGTTATCCTGCAGCATCAGACAATGGCTAGCAAAAATGGGGGCTATAAAGACATGAAGTGGATGGTTTACAAGCTTTCATGGGTATGCTTAGTTTCAGAATGAGGGGACAAAGGAGAAACCCCACTGACTACTTTTCCTCTTTTCCAGATGAGTCTGGTGAAAGGGGGCTGGAGGATAATGTTGATAGGAATTTTATTATTTCAATTGTGAGTAATTGTTAGTAGGCTTGATTGTGATTGTCAAAACCATAACTGTAGAAGATGTGTAACTAAGAGAAGGGAGTAGCTGTCCTTCATTTCAGGAACAGACAATCACAGGACCATCAAGAAGAAAGAGCATGAGATCACTGCCTAGAAAAACCATGACAACAGAAACAATGGTAAAAGTGACAGCATGGAAAGACAAGCAGCTATGGACTCTAGGACTATGGACTGAGTAAAGCTGTGTGCCTACAGGTGGGAGACTGGCTTGCAGAATACGCCCCATGAACAGTTAAGTGAATATACATTTTTCATTTGTTTTGCATACGTGCATCAAATATTTTTGTTTATATATGTATATGTGTATGTACACATACACACATATATACACACACACACATACAAACATACATACACAAGTCCTGGTATGGTGCTGTGGGTTAATGCACTATATGCAAGGTTGGTTTGAACCACAAGGTCACTGGTTCAAGCTCACCAGCCAATCCTTGGAAACCCTATACAGGTTGTTATGAGTTGGAACCAACTCAACAGCACTTAACAAAGGAGCTCTGGTAGCACAGTTGTTACAAGTTGGGCTGCTAACCTCAAAGCCAGCAATTCAAAGTTATCAGCTGTCCCGCAGAAGAAAGATGAGGCTTTCTGCTTCCATAAAGATTTACAGCCTTTTACATATGGGGTCTCTATGATTTAGAACCAGCTCCATACCCCATAACTAACAAACTCTAAATATTCATGTTTCACAGGTTTTGCTTCTCTAGAAAACCCAACCCGAGACAGCTATATATGCTAAAATTTGTAATTCCGTTTCCATTTAGTAGAAATAGCTATATTTGTTTCTGCAATAAGTGAAAAGATTTCATAAACTGATTGCCTGCCAGAGACATATATCAAGTACATTATAATTACTAAATTTTTTAAGTTTTGCAGATTAATGACTAAAACCCAAAAATCTTATTTGACTAAAAGGTATACAATTTCAAGAAAACAATTCCCTTAAGAACTTGCATACTTTGATGGTTGGTCCCAGCTACAGCATTTTTCAATAAACTTTTATGGAAAAGGGCACTTTCAATAGTAATTATAATGGAATTTCTCAATTCATGTCATTTATAATGACATGATAAAAAAAAAACAAAAACAAAAAACCAGCAGGCGCGCATGATTATGCACAGTATTCCAATTTCAGATGATCTATGAACAAAGAAAACAAATGAAACTTCAATGTTTTCCTAAGAGGACTAAAATTGCCAAATTCAAGTTATAATATAATATGAAAGTTGTAACTGCCATTCTAGCATTACTTTTTCTTTCTTCTCTCTAAAACTGTGGCTACAATGTAAGTTATTAAATACTTTAAATGTAAATATTTATAGAGTACAAACCAACTTTTTAAACAAAGTCTGAGTATTACATGAAACTACTTCCAATTTGCATTTGGCTGGATATTTCCTTTAATTTAGACACATTACTTCTTACCTCTTGATTAAATTTATGCGCCATTTCATTAAGAAGTGAAGAAAAGAAACTAGTGTTTTGTAGCAGGACTCGACCCATGACTCCAAGATATGTGGACATCACTACAGGATACCTCTGTACAATTAAAATAGAGCACATGTAAAAATCTAGTAAGATGCAAGTATAACAAAAATGAACACGAGATCAATCATCAAGAATATAGTAGTTTTCATATTGCATCTCTTTAGGATGAACTGAATTCTAAATCATTAATAACTTAGTAACATATACATGCACATACATACACCAGGGAGCTTCAAAAAATTCACAAGTAAATTTCATTATCTTTTAAGACCATGAACTTTTTGAAGCCCACTCATATAGAAAACATCTGTACATGTGCGTGTGTGCGAGAGAAAAAGCAGCTCAAAGGAATACTTACATTGCTTTAAATGCTCCTAACATGGTTACATGAAATCAATATAAAAGCTGGATTTAGTTATAATCAGTAGTGTAATATGTTCAGTATATTTAAAAAAAATAGCACTGTTTTCTTCACATTTTCTTAATAGTCTAGCATTGGAATTAAGCCACTAACCAATCTTTCTGATATGATTGCTGTGTGTGAATATACAAGAATGTGAGCGAAAGAAATGAAATGTCACAGGAAATATCTACCTTCCTGTGTGGAGTAGGAAAAGACTTAGTTGTATAATGGATTTTTTTTAAGTTTCTAGAAAGGTTCTATTATCTTTTGATTGAATTTTCCCCTAAAACTTTCTGAAGCTTCATTGTATAACTGCCATGAAAATTTACTAAACTTACTTCAAGATGACCCCCCCAAAAAAAGGTTATTTTATAATTAACAATTAATAAGTAACTTCCCAATGTCCCAATGAAAGAGAAATAATTAAATCTGAACTCCAGAGTCCAATACTATTCCAATTCTATGCCAGAAATGACAAATTAAAGAGGAATGGCATTGCATTCATCATCAAAAAGGACATATCAAGATCTGTCATGAAGCGCAACGCTGTCTCTGATAGGATAATATCCCTATACCTATCAGGAATACCAGTTAATACCACTATTATTCACATCTACACACAACCACTAAAGCCAATGATGATGAAATTGAGGAATTCTACCAACTTCTTCAGTGTGAAAATGATCAAACATGCAATTAATATGTATTGATAATTATTGGCGATTGGAATGCAGATGTTTGAAACAAAAGGAAGGATCAGTGGTTGAAAAATATGGCCTTGGTGATAGACATTATGTGGAAATCGCATGGTAGACTTCTGCAAGACCAATGGCCTCTTCATTGCAAATACCTTTTTTAAACAACATAAAGCGTGACTATACAGATGGATCTCACCAGATGGAATACACAGAAATCAAATTGACTACATCTGTGGAAAGAGACAGTGGAAAAGCTCCATATCATCAGGCAAAACAAGGTCAGGGACAGATTGTGGAACAGGCTCATTTGTAAATTCATGCTGAATCTGAAGAAAATAAAAATTAGTCCACGAGAGCAAAATTATTACCTTGAATATATCTTAACTGAATATAGAGATTATCTGAAGAACACATATGGTGTACTAAACACTAAAGACCGAAGACCTGAAGAATTGTGGGATGACATCAAGAACATCATACAGGAAGAAAACAAAAGGTCATCAAGAAGACAAGAAAGAAGGAAAAGACCAAAATGGATGTCAGAAAAGAATCTGAAACTTGCTCTCCAGCAAAGAGATGCTAAAGCATCTCAGGGAACTATCAGAGGTTCAAGCCCAATTCAGAGGAGGACGTGGAATGAGGGATATCTTTGCTGACGTCAGATGGAACTTGGCTAAAGCAGAATATACCAGAAAAATGTCTGCCTGTGTTTTACTGACAACACAAAGTCTTTTGATTGAGTTGCTCCTGACAATCACAACAAAGTTGTGGACAGCGCTGTGCAGAACGCTTATTTCTGAACACTTACTTGTGCTCATGCGGGCCTTGTACATAGCCCAAGAGTAGCCATTCAAATGGAACAAGGAAACATTGAATGTTTTAAAATTAGGAAAAATGGGCGCCAGGGTCATATTCTTTTACCACACTTATTCAATCTCTAAGCTGAGCAAGTAATTTGAGAATCTGGATTATAAAAAAAAAAAAGAAAAGAGTGTGGGATAAGGACTGAAGGAAGACTCATTAACAATCTGCTATATGCAGTTGATCTATTGAATCTTTTGCAGCCCATGGCACTTTTAGAATTCTCCTCCAACACCATAATTCAAAGGCATCAATTCTTCTACAATCTTCCTTATTAATACTTTCCAGCTTTCTCATCCATATGAGGTTATTGAAAACACCATGGCTTGGGTCAGATGCACCTTAGTCCTCAAGCTGACATCTTTGCTCTTCAACTCTTTAAAAAGTTCCTGTGCAGCAGATTTGCCTAATGCAATATGTCGTCTGATCTCTTGACTGCTGCTTCCGTGAGTGTTGATAGTTGATCCAAGAAGAATGAAGTCCTTGACAACTTCAATCTTTTCTCCATTGATAAGAATGTTGTTTATTGGTCCAGTGGTGAGGATTTTTGTTTTCTTGACATTGAGATGTAATCCAATCCATACCGAAGGCTGTGCTTAGAAGCCAAGATGGCCAAAATTCGTCTCTCATACTTTGGACATATTGTCAGAGGGAACAGTCGCTGGAGAAGGATATCATGTTTGGAAAGATGGAGGGTCAGAGAAAAAGAGGAAGACCCCCAACGACCCCCACCATTGGCCAGGTGGCAGCACTGATGGACTCAAGTGTGGCAGTGGTAGTGAGGTTGGCCCAGGATCGGGCTTTGTTTCTCTCTGCTGTGCATGGGGTCGCTATGAGTCAGTTCCGACTCAATGACACCAAACAACAACAAAATATGCAGTTGATACAACCTTGCTTGCTGACAGCAAAGAGACTTAAAATACTTACTGATGAAGAACACAGACCACAGCCGTCAGTATGGGTTGCTCTTCAATGTAAAGAAAACAAAAAATCCTCACCACTGAATCAATAAGTAACATCAAGATAAATGGAGAAATGACCGAAGTTGTCTAAGACTTCATTTTGCTCAGATCAACCATAAAACTCCGGGAAGCAGCCGTCAAGAAATCAAATCTGCTGCACAAGACCTCTTTAATGTGTTCACGCATAAAATGTCAGTTTGAGGACTAAAGTGTGCCTGACCTAAGCTATGGTATTTTCAATAACCTCATATGAATGTGAAAGTTGGACAATAAATAAAGAAAACAGTAGAAGAACAGATTCATTTTAGCTATGTTCTTGTAGCAGAATATTAAAAGTTCCATGGACTGCTAAAAGAGCATACAAATCTGTGTTGGAAGAAGTATAGCCAGAATGCTCTTTAGAAGCCAGGATGACCAAACATCCTCTCATATTATCAGGAGGGACCAGTCCCTGGAGAAGGACATCATGCTTTTCATTATAATAACTGACTTTGTTTTCTCTAGCAGACCTCTGAAATTCTCTATTGAGCTATTGAATTACTTCCTCAATTTTTCCATTGACTTTAGCATCTCTACGCTAGGAGAGCATGCTTCAGAGCCTCTTCTGACATCCACTTTGGTCTTTTATTTCTTTTTTGTATTCTTAATGACCTTTTGCTTTCTTCCTATACGATTTTCATTAAATCATGCCACAACTCTTCTAGTCTTTGGTCATTAGTGTCTAATACATCAAATCTGTTCCTCAGATGATCTCTAAATTTAGGTGGACTATGTTCAAGGTCATATTTTAGTTCTTTTGGACTTGTTTTTAATATTCTTCAGCTACAGCCTGAACTTGCACATGAGCAATTGATGGTCTATTCCACATCTGCTCCTGGCCTTGTTTTAGCTTGTTTTCCCACAAATGCTGACAATCTGATTTCTGTGTATCACATCTGGTAAGGTCCATGTGTGTAGTCATCTTTTATGTTGTTTATAAAAGGTACTAGCAATGAAGTCACTGGTCTGGCAAAATTCTATAATGCAATCTCTAACACCATTTCAATAACCAAGGGCAACATTTCCAATGACTGATCTTTGTCTCCAACCTTTGTATTCCAATCACCAGTGATTATCAAAACATCTTGATTGCATGGGTGATCAATTTCAGACTGAGGAAATCAGTTGCTGTTTGTTTCTGTCTAGTGCTGCCAAGTCAGTTCCAACTCATAGCAATCCTGTATAGGATTACCAAGGAGCTTGAACTACCAATCAAGCAGTTCAAACCGACCTTGCAGTCCAATGCAATAATTCACAGCATCACACAAGGAAGTTAGTTGGTAGCACTCAATTTCATCATCACTGGCTTTAGTTAGTGGTTGATGCATAAATTTTAATAATAGCTGTATTAACTAGTTTTCTTTGCAGACATATGGATATTATCCTATCATAGACAGTGTTGTGCTTCAGATAGATTATAGAAATATTCTTTTTAATGATGAATGTGACAATATCCTCTTCATATTGTCATTCACAGTACAGTAAATCATGTAACTGTCAAGATTCAAAATGGCCAATACCTGTCCTTTTCATCTCACTAATGTCTAGGATGGAGTCCTGGTGTGGTGCTATGGGTCAATGCGCTGGACTGTAAAGTCAGTTTGAACTGCAAGGTAAGAAGTTCAAGCTCACCTACCACTCCTTGGAAACCCTATACAGGGTCACTCTGGGTCGGAACCGACTCAGTGTCACTTAACAACAACAACGTCTAGGATATTGAACTTCAAGCATTCTATTTCTAACAACTTCCAGTTTTCCTAGATTCATACTTATTACATTCCATGGTTCTGATTATTAATGGATGTTAACATCTGTTTTCCCTCATTTTGAGTTGTGTCCCATCAGCAAACAAAGGTCCCAAAATCTTTACTCCATTTGTGTCATCAAGGTCAACTCTACTTTTTAGGTTGCCTTCCAACCTGAGGTACTACATCTGACAATATTCTGGTATTCTTCATAATGTTTCAATATTTAGTATTCTGGTGCTGATAGTGTTCCACTGATATTCATGAGGTTTTCAGCGGCTAAACATTCAGAAGTAGTCTGCCTATCCTTCCTAATCTGTCTTGGTATGGAAGCTCAGCTGAAATCTGTCCACCATAGGTAACACTGCTGGTGATTAAAATACTAGTGGCATAACTTCCAGGATCACAGCAACACATAAGATACCACATAATAACAAACTGAAAGACAAGCAGTGGCAATCCAGATATGTTGTTGTTGTTATGTGCCATGGAGTCGGTTCCGACTCATAGCGACCCTGCACAGGGTTTCCGAGGCTATACATCTTTACAGGAGCAGAACGCCTCCTCTTAATCCCGTGGAGCAGCTGATAGTTTCAAACTGCTGACCTTGTGTTTGCAGCCCAATTCGTAACCACTATGAATCCAGATATAGACATATGCAAAGTAAAAGAGAGCTATAAAACTGAAAGTAGAGAACCAGAGATGCATTTGTGGGAACATTAAGAAAAAATATACAAAATAAAAAGGAAATAATGTCACTATAGAACTTTCAAATGAGGCAATCAAATAGATTTCAAGATAATAAATACATAAAAATAAACCCAACTGGAGTCCTACTAACTAGAGCAAGTCTTACTCCTTGTCTTAGCCGTAGCCCGATACTTACCCTTAACACTAACCCTAGTCCTAAATATAACCATAACAATAAACAAAATCTTAGGCATAGCCTAAACCTAGCTGTAGTCTCAGTCCTGACACTCAATCTTTACTCCTATACATCCCACCCCACAAAAAGAGAAAAATCTTACCTCCCCTTCTATAATCCCACTGAAAACGCAGGGTAGAATTGGTTGAAACATTTGTGGGCCTAACACTGGGTTCACTTTAAGGGCATTTTCCACAACCTGAAATCAGAAAGAAGCCAATAATACTCAGTATTTTAAGTCACTGTTTCATGCAAAGCACACTTAATGGAAACAATGAATTATATTAAATGCTACAAACCAAATATGAGATACAGTATGTTATTGTTGTGAAGTTGGTTCTGACTCACATCAACCCCCTGTGTATGGTTCCCAAGGAGAGTCTGGTGGTTTTGAACTACCAACCTTGTGGTTAGTAGTCCAGTACTCATCCTCAGCAACCACACCAGGACTCCAAGATGTAGTATATGTGGTTTGTAATATTCTTTCTCACAGTATCCTAGCACTATTGGTTGATGCTGTTTGCCCTCAAGTCAATTCCAACTCACAGTGATTCAATAGGACAGAACAGAACAGAACTGCCCAACTTGGGTTTCCTAGCCTGCAATCTTTACTAGAAGTAGCCCTGGTGATAAAGTGGTTAAAGCACTCTGCCACTAACAGAAATGTCAGTTATTCAAATCCATCAGTTGCTCTACTGGAAAAATATGTGGCAGCCTGTATCTGGAAAGATCTGCAGCCTTAGAAACCCTATGGGGCAGTCAGTCCAAAAAGGTCACTATGAGTCTGAATCATCTAAACAGCTATGGGTTTGGTTTGGAATCTTTATGAGGGCAGACTGCCAGGTATTTTCTCCCACTGGCTAGGTGGGTGGTAACCGCAGACCAACCCACCAAAGTTAACAGTGGAGTACTTCAACCATTGTACCACCTATTCTAGAATATGGAGTCCTTACTAGAGAACTCAATACACTTTTACAAGATAATGAAGCTGTTCATCCAATCACCTATTCTTTTGTCAGCATTTTGCTACTGCAAATAAAAGCTTTTGTACTTCAGATTTAATCATCTTTTTTGCATTTAAAATCTGTGTCAAAAAATTAAGGCTTTTGTCAACATTCAAATACAATTTTCTTCACGGAAGCTTAGACTGAAGTCAAATAGACTCTGGAGTAAGAATACCTGGGTTTCCATCACAACTCTAATACTTACTAGGTATGTGACCTTAGGTAAGTTATTTACCTCTTTGTGATATAGTTTCTCATCTATAAAAAATGGAGAAAATAACGATACAATCATCATAGTTTAATTTAAGAATTAAATGAACTCTAAATGCTGTTTGCTTAACATAAACCAAACCAAAACCAAGCACATTGCCATCAAGTCAATTCCAGCCCCATAAGACAGAGTAGAACTGCTCCACAGGGTTTTAAAGGCTGTAAACCTTGATGGAAGAAGACTGCCATATCTTTTTCCTGTGGAGCAGCTAGGAGGTTCAAACTTCTGAGCTTTCATTTAGCAGCCCAGTGCTAGCCACAGCACCACTATGGCTCTTCATGTAGTACAGAAAATGCAAAAGTATTAGCTATTACTATTATTATTACAGAATAAATTATACCTTCAAGGTATTTGTGCCATCTTAAATAAGCCTTATCACAGTGAATGAAAGAAATTTGGCTTTATACTGCTTGATATGACTGTAACAAAAAACAAAATTTCACAACTCAAAGCAGTATATATAGATATAGATATATCAACAAATTCAAAATTCAAGAGATGTTAACAACTGAAATATGTGTATTTTTCTATTATAATTGTATTCACATAGATAACTGTTCAGAATTACAAAGCATAATGAAAATCTATTTTTGCTCTAAACTATTTGATCTGTTTTGAAAGAGGTGCAGCCAGAGTGCTCCTTGGAGGCCAAGATGGCTAAACTTCATCTCTCATACTTTGGACATACTGTTAGGAGGGAACAGTCTCTAGAGAAGGATGTCATGCTGGGTAAGATGGAGGGTCAGAGAAAGAGAAGACGACCCCCAACAAAATGGATCAGCCAGGTGGCATCACTGATGGTGTCAAGTGTGGCAGCGGTAGTGAGGTTGACCCAGGATCTGACATTGTTTTGTTCTGCTGTGCATGGGGTTGCTATGAGTCGGTTCTGACTCAATGGCACCTGACAACAACATCTGATCCTAAAATAAGCATACTTGGTCTCTCCAATTTTCATAACATTATAATTTTCTGCTTCAAAGAGTAAAGAGGGTAACTTCCATATACAGTCAGAAATTAGTATCCAGTGACACTTACTCAAAACTACACTTAAATGTTACATAGCAACTATATTAATAAAAAGTACCTGCGCAGTATTTAAAAATTGAAAATAATGAATATTAAAAACTATTATTACAGCTATACTGGAACTCTGATAATAGGACAATGTCACAAAATTTGAGGGTTCTCTAAGGGCATAAAACAAAAGTACTATGTTGTTGTTGTTATGTGCCATGGAGTTGGTTCCAACTCATAGCGATCCTGTACAGGGTTTCTGAGGCTGTAAATCTTTAGGAGCAGAAAGCCTCATCTTTATCCCATGGAAGAGCTAGTAGTTTTGAACTGCTGATCATGAGATTAGCAGCCCAATTCGTAACCACTGTGCTACCAGAGCTCCTTAAAAGTACTATGTTGTTGTTGTTAAGTGCCGTCGAGTCAATTCCGACCCATAGCAAGCCTGTATAGGGTTTTCAAGGAGTAGCTGGTGAGCTTGAACCGCCGACCGTGCAATTCAAAACGGTTTTGCAGTCTGGCACATTAACCCACAGCGCCACACCAGGACTCCTAAAAGTACTATAGTACTAATATACTCCCTATTCAAAAATATAAATGTTATTCATGATAACTGATATAGTCTTAGTATTTGACATCCATTTATTAAATAATAAAATCTAGTTCTGACATTTCATACCAAATGTAGATGTGTAGCTATAGCAACCTTTATACAAAAAAAAGCCCTACATAAGTTATCATATTGAAAATTTTTAATTGAAATATATCCATACTACTAATGACCTTCTGTTGTCATACTTACAGAGAAACATTTATAATTTATAGATATTTTTAAATATATTTTGATAATTAATTTGTGCTGAATCATTAAACAAAAAACTACAGGAGAAATAATGATATCACCTTTCACATAAAAAAAGATGAAAGGAAAAAGCAAAGAGATTTATTTCCTAGTAAAATTTTCAGGGTAATGTTGTACAAAATATAAGTTTAAAATTTTCTATAATAAAAAAAAAAAATTCTTAGACAATTGTGTTATTATGAAAAGTGAGAAAGAATATATGCTATTAATTTTAAAGAGCCTGAAGAGATACTAAAGCTTTCTCAAGTGTATAAATCACCTGCATAGTTTTAAACATTGTATTCTTTATTTTATATAAACTGTGGCTCTAATAAGCACTGGAATGAGAACCACAAGGTCGGCAGTTCGAGTCCACCCACCACTCTGGCGGAGAAAGATGAGGCTTTCTGCTCCCACGCAAATTTACAGCCTTGGAAATGCTACACCGGGTTGCTACAAGTCAGAACCAAATTGATGGCACATAACAACAACAACATTTTAAAATAAAAATGCATTCTTAATTTTAAATAAACAATTATTTTGCATAAATGGTCAAAGCATGAGGTAAAACTATTTGGTTTGGTTTGTTCCTCTGTAGTCTAAGATGTTAGTTGTTGTTAAGTGCCATCTCATAGTGGCCCTGTTTCTAAAGAGCAGCTGATGGGTTGAAACAGCCAGCCTTGTGGTTTGCAATATAGTGCTTATCCTATAGAGTGTGACACCAGGAGTCCAAGATTTTAATGAGCAAATAAAGCAGTTAGGCCTACGAGTAAAATATGTTTACCCCAGAGAGAAATTTTATAATTAGTTAAAAAGAGCAAACAGCTACTTTAGCTTGTTGCAGTTTAGGTACTGATGTTTGTGTTTTATATACATAAACTCATATTCTCACATCAATCTTTGGAAGAAGATAAAGTTATCATCACCCCCATGTTAGAGATGGATAGTGAGGACCAGAGAAGTGAAGTAACTTGTCCAATCATACAACTGTGAAGTTGTTGTTGACATTTTTAGGTGTCATCGATTCGACTCTAACTCATATCGACCCAATGTACAACAGAAAGAAACTATGAAGCACTAAGCTAATATTTAAACACTAGCAATCTGGCTACATTCTACAGTCTTGCCTGCTATGCTACACTACCTCTAGCTACTTTGAGGAACTAAACATTCTCCTTAGGACACATTCTAAAAATCGTTTCCTTTAAAAAAAAAAAAAAAAAATCACAATACCCACTCTAAATCATTCAGAACAAGGAATCTTTCAACAATTACTTTATTAATAATGTTGTACAAAAGCACAAAAAAAGTTTGCAATTCAAATTTGGTCTAGGAGGTTACGTTTTCAATGTGAAGAACAATCACCTTTATAAGTCATTTAGAATATACTTATTATAATTAAACATGATTTCAGATAACACACAATTAAAAATCATTTTGTACAATCCCTATTCTAATCAATGAGGAAAGTTATTAAGTCCAAAGAGCATTCAAGAGTTGTCTATGTAGCAGAGCTGTGTGTGAAAACCAAGGACAGGAACAATTACAATATATAACTGTCTCTTCCATTAAGAACACAGTCTACCACATCCAGATAACTTTAAAGGATGAAGTCCAGGAAATCTTGTCTAAATAAGTAGCCATCACTCCTCATAATGTCTGTAATACACACTATCTGCACTGGTGGTGGTGGTGGTGTGCTGTGGAGTCAGTTCCAACTCATAGTGACCCTGTATAGGGTTTCTGAGACTGTAAATCTTTACAGGAGCAGAAAGCCTCATCTTTCTCCCGCACAACAGCTGAAAGTTTCGAACTGCTGACCTTGAGGTTAGTAGCCGACTCGTAACCATTACGCTACCAGAGCTCCTTACTATCTACACTAGTCATATATAATTTAAGGACTAGAAGACTGCTGTTGTACTCAGTTCTATTCTAAAACTCCCTAGTTACAAAGTGAAAAAATTGAGGCACAAAATGGTTAAATTCCCAAGGCTATGTAGATATAATTACCAAAATCAGGCTATAATCCAGATCACTACCTTATAATGTGATTGTTTCTGCAAGTGCCTTGTATTCTGAACTACTGAGAACCTAAAAAAGTTTTAGGTTTGCTTTGTTATATTTTGTTTCTTATAAACGTCTCACCTTCTTCTAAGTAATACAGTACTTCAGACCACGGTGAATCACAAAATTTTCATGCCCTAATTTTCAGAAGTCAATTGTCAGACCTTTCTTCTTAGTCCATCTTAATCACAGCAGCACACAAGTCTCCAATGACAGATATGCGGTGGCTGTGCTTGAGGTGCACTGACTGGTAAGTAATTGAGCCCAGATCCCCCACTTAGAAGGCAATAACTCTACTACTGAACTGCCACTAGCCCCCAAAAGGCAGTACAGAGGAACACTAGCAAGCTAAAATGTCCTACTGACAACTGTATCAACTCTTTTACCAATTACCCAAAGCCAAATTTAGGTCCAACTTCACAAAATACAAAAAGAAAACATACAACAAAATATTCATTTAAACAGATAAAATAATACTCATTTTAAAAGATGACAATACCTTGAGCACATGAACTTGACCTTCTATAGTAATTTCCTTTAACAGCTCACAAAAGGACTGACACAGACCCATGGCATATGTCTGAAATTCAATCAAAAACCAATACATATATATATATATATATATATATATATATGAATGTATACACAATTTCAAAAAGGCATACAATCCAATCTGAAACTCATAATCTATTTGAGAATTATATACTAACCATATGAAGATTCATATTCACATTATACTATTTAAGAAACCGTTAAAAAGATTATACACTATAAAAATACGTTTACTGCTACACTAGCCTTTGTATGTACAAAAGGATACGCTAATTTATACAGCACAATTTCTGTCTTAAATAACATAATTAAAGAACTGCATTACATATGCAGTATAGTGAGTGGACAATGATCATGATCAAAGCTTTTCTTTTTCTTTCTTCCTTAAAGTAACGCACTTATCTTAAATTTTGAAAACGCACAACCTGATTTCAAAGTAGAAACCATCAAAATAATGAATATGTAACTCCTTACAATATAAAAACTGCTATAACATACCTGTAAGAATTCAGTTGATGATAAAAAGATATACCCATTGATGATCTTAAAGCAGGTTCTGAGACTTTCTGAACTTAGTTCTGCCAAAGTAATAAATTAAAAAAGAAATTAACTCATTGCTTAAAAATAGTTCAAAATGTGATTTATTTAAAAAATTAGGTTGCACACCCTTCTTTATAAATGTTTTCTGTGTGCTCGTCAAATTGCTATATACATATCTGTCTAAAATCTGGCCTCAAATGGCAAGAAAGCCTTCCTATCTGGTCCATACTTGTTAAAAACTTAGAAAAGAATATTATTATCCCTTTTTTCATCCTTCTTTTCATCCTTTCATCCCTTTTTTCATCCTTTCAGAACTTGATAACCATATGATCCAAATTTTCATTTCAAATTAAATATTTACTGCTAACATAGTCATAATGAGAATGAACGATATTATTGTGCTTTGGCATTTTACTGAGTGTCTATTGTGCTGACACTGAATAGGCTACCATACATATGAAATATTTTCCTATCATAGACCATCCCCAAAAAATTATATTGTGTCATATAGTCTCTAGGCTTTATGCGGAAAATGTGTTCTCCTACTAAACTTGCACATTTAAAAAAAAGTCTTAAAAATGTAGTCACCAGAAAAGCAATGGAATAGGAATTATTTTCAAGAACAAAGTGGAAACCATTTCGAATATGCAGTAACTGACACAATGCAGTTTTACATATATTATTATAAAGGAGCACAGTGGATTAGAAGCTGGGCTGCTAACCACACAGTCAGCACTCTGAATCTACCAGTTAGTTGCTCTGCAGGAGAAAGATGAGGTTTTCTGTTCCTGTAAAGATTTACAGCCTCGAAAACCCCTACAGGGTCACTATGAGTCAGGAAAGACTCGGTGGCACACAGCTACCGCCACCATTACATGGGCTAGGGAGCACAGTGGCTCTGTAAAAGAAATACTGGACTGGGAGCCACAAGGTCAACAGTTCAAACCCACCAGCCACTCTGTAAGAGAAAGATGAGACTTTTTACTCCCACAAAAATTTACAGCCTTAGAAACCCTTATACGGGGTCACTATGAGTACAAATTGATGGCACTTAACAATAACAAACATTATATGTAATTGTTGCTAAGTATTACTGAGTCAATATCAACTCATACAGACCCTGATAGGGTTTCCAAAGAGTTGCTGGTGGGTTTGAATCAATGACCTTGCGGTTAGCAGGCCAGTGGTTATCCTACAGTACCACACTAGGATTATAAAATAATCTATGTAATACTAACATAAACTGGTTTGGAGCAAATAGTTTAGAAACTATATACATATGCAGAAGAACATAGTAAAAAAAAATATTTTTGAGGCAAAATACTAATCTAGCCCACAGGTGATTTAATTCATAACTTAAGAAAGTGAGAAAACATGCTCTTCAGATGTAAACTGCAATCATATCACTACTTAAAATTACTATTTATAGGACAGAAAGCTATTTAAATTTTTTACTATTAAAGTTTAAATCAATTAATTCATCCTCACAAAACTGACAAGTCACTAATTCTTTATTCAATTAAGTAGAACAAATCCTACAAAGTCAAATCACTGGGTACTTTTTCTTTTAAAATATTAGTAATGTTACAGTAATTGTAACCACAGCAGTAATAAACATAATATCGAAGTACTTAAATAGAACTAGTGCTTACTATGTGTCAGATACTTTATACACATAAAAGCAAGCAGAACATTAATCTGACAAGGACTATACATCAATTACAAAGCAAAAGTATACTACAAAATGGTCAACAATTACTCTAAAGAAAGATGAAAGGGTAGAGGGACAAAGAAACCAGATTACATAAAGGGAAACATCCACAAGAGAATGAATGAGAATGTTAAAACATTGAAACACGTAACCCATGTCTCTGAACAATCTGTGTAATAAATAATAATAGTTAAATGAGAACCTAATTTCCTATGTGAACTTTCACAATAAAATATTTAAAATAAAAGAACTACACTTAACACTTACTGAAACCTGCAATAAAAGTAGTGTCATATGTTTTTTTATTTGTTCATTCACTTCCTTCTGGCTCCTAAATCTCCCTCCCTTAAGTCTATGGGAATTTTGCACTATGAGGCAAGGCCTGCTGAATTTGGGATGGTATACAAAAGGCCACCATGTGAAGTTACCCATATAAGGGAGGCTGATTTCTTTTACAAAACACAGTGGATAATGGATCTGCTTAAGGTTTCCATCCCTAAATTAACTGTAAAGAAGTATTATGGATAACCCAGAATGGCACTGTATGTGGTCTCTAAATTAGAAAGACTAGAACTAGAAAGGCTTTCACTAGATAATAAAGGAAAGGGAAGAAGTTATTATTTCCCTGGGATGACTGAGGAAACAGAATTCACTTTTCCTAGGAGAGTTGTTAATAAGTGACTGGCCTAGAGGCACTAACTTCATCTATGAATTATTCCCTTACATGGAGATGCTAGATGATAAATAACAAATATCTTTTTATGGGAAAACAAATGGTTATCTTGGTATTATTTGACATCTCACCTGATTCTGAGGAATGGAGCAGAAGAAGAGAAAAACTCAGAGAAAATGTGAGGGACATAATCCAGCCACCATGGTCATCCAACAAATGAGGAAAGGAAAATTTTTTTTAACAGTTGAAACTGTTTTAGTCCACATTTATGATATTTTCAAAATGTGAGTCTACTTTTCTGGTACATCATTAAACCTTAGTAATATTTTTTCCACTAAAAAAAGTATCACAAGTAAGTGCTTTCACTCAAAAATCTTTAGATATTGCCATAACAATTATGACTTTATTCCGAACATTTTCCTGCACAAATGCTTTCTCATTAGTTTACCCAAAGTTTTAATGAAGGAATCAGAGATGCTTCATGGATGAGTCTTGAAGAATGAGGGCTTCTAAACAGATTTTAAAATTTTACAGATTTTGCACTATATGTTATAAATAAAAAATAAAAGAAGGTATTATTTTGCAAATCGAAAAAGGGCCAAAGGGCTATTCATTAACATTGTATATAATTTTTTAAATATTCCATGAATTTAGATGGAAACCTATAATAGGAAAACAAATCCTACAGACAGAATATCATAAAAAGAAATTTTAAAATAATTGCTCACTTGTGAACAGTAGCTGATATGTAACAGAAAAGTATTGCCTTTCAATTGTCATTAGAATAAATGTTCAAAATGGTGAAATGGATTTAATTTTATCTCATCCAGGAAGATTATGAGACGACGACTACTACAGTGCCTATGCCAAAACTACTGCTTACTAAACATGGAGTTTCATAATGTTACAGTTGATATGTAATAAATAATTCAACCGATAAATTTAATTTCCTAATATTTCATAATGGTGGTTCCTTTGCAAAACTAGAGAAAGATGTACAAAGCTTATTTGGAATACTCATTTGTAAAATCACTTTGTAAAGGAAGCTGGGTAAAATCATGGCATACAGAAACAGTTTTATAATATAACCTTGCAAATACGCATAGAACTGCCATACATGGGAATATTACTAGACAAGGTTTGAGTTTCATTGAAAATTAAAGTTTCCAAAGAACATTTTTTCATCTCTATTAAAAAATTTCTCACAAGTTACTGCAATTTAGAGTTTATTCTTTAACAAGGAGTCGTCCTTGTTTCCTGGATGGTACAAACAGTTAACACACTTGGCAGCTTATTAAAGGTTGGAAGTTCAAGTTCACCCAGATTCACGTCAGAAAAAGGGTCTGGTGATTACTTCTAAAAATAAACTATTGAAAACTCAATGTAGTACAGTTTTACTCTGTCACACATAGAGTTATATGGTGAGGAATTAATTACATAGTAATGGCTTTTTCTTTAATAAGGAGAAATAATTCCAAAAAGTTATATCTAGAAATCGTGATACGATTTAACCTTTTTAATCAATCTCAGTGACTTTAATAGAAAAGAAGCTGTAATTTAGTCAGTTATAACGCCCCCAAATTAAAATATATGAGTGTATTCTGTAAAACATACCAAGAAGTGGTGACATATTCTGAAATATACGAAGTAACTCTGGTGTAATACATGGGCTGTTTTCCAGTGTGACTAACCTAGGATGAAAAAACAAATGATTAAATCACATTCATCCTCATTAATGTTGTTAACATAATTATCTACATTTAAAAACTGTCTCAAATGAAGGAATAAACATAAGACAGAAAGTTATAAAAATTATTTTTCTAATAAAAAATTATCCGTCATCCATGTGGTCAAACTCAGCCCTTATCTTCAATGCTGCCTTTCCCCTTCTTCCACTTACCAGTACACCAATGTGGTCACCAGCAAGCTTACATGCCTATTCATGTGTTCCCTTTGAGTTTCAGTCTTGGACGGGGGTTTGTCCCAAAGGGAAAAATAATTATTTTACAAAAGATACTCCCCCATAGAGAGAAAGGAATAGCCAGAAACATCACCATAGAAAGCTTGTTAAGTCCGTCTTCTGCCTATAACTGATTGGAATACCTAAAATGGGGCTACAACGTGCCCAGTGAAGGAGGCTTCCTGCGGAGCCCCTGCAATACATAAGACTATAGATGGAAGCCTGAACCACATCCAGATCTTCAGAGATGGGAAATTTCCACTTGAAAAGACAAGCCTGGAGTGACTACAAGAACAGAAGATACTTCTTGAAAGAAAGAAAAATACAAAACAACATAGGCAGACCGACTGTTACTACAAGAATAAACAAGATGCTTGCCCAGGAAACATCAAGGCAAGTGGCCGGGTCCCCTCAGTGCAAACCCCTTCCCAGACTAAGACTCAATGGGAATACACGCTCTGATTGGTGACCACGCTCGTCACCGATAGGGGAAGTGAGGGAAAAACAGCAATGAAGCTATAGGCAGCTAAGCCCTACAATGTTCAATAGACTTCTGTGAACCGGGTGGAGACCTAGTTGGCCAGTAGTGTGGCAAGACCTGGGGACTCTTGGGCCCATAGTCAGTGACATAGCCACAGAGGACTAGAGTGGAGAGTCAAGAGTCCAGCAGATAAGAAGAGAGGGCATATGCACAAGAACACCCACACTTGCAGATAATACCCATTGACCTGGCTTCAATGACTGGACAACCAGAAGAAGAAAGAAGAGGATAAAAAGAGTAATCTGATATAATTTATGAACCTGACCTATACCTATGGATGCAGTAGCTCAAAAGAGGGAGCAAATCCTTATAGCAAGGATCATTCCCACCCCCTCCATACATAGAGTAGACAGGGATGGGCAACTTGGAAAATGGCTACCCAAAATGGGGGGGGCTACAAAGGCAAGAAGTGACTGGCTTACAAGCTTTCAAAAGGGAACCTAGATTCAGAGGGCATGGAGGAAGGTAGAATCTCCACTAAGTAGTATACAATCTGTCTATGCGGGGCTGATGAAATGAAATGCGGATGGATCTCTTGTGATACAATAATTGTTACCAGGACTGCTTGTGAGGGTTGGAGTTGTAAAGAGAGACTTTTTGTAACAAGGAGGGGAGTGATTAACTTTTCAGCCTAGGAGTGGAGGTCCTGGGACCATCAAGGGAGAAGAGTGGAGAGCAGGACCCTACCCAGAGAAGCAGTGATGCCTGAGCTGGAGGCAGAGACGATGATGTGGAGAAATGAAACTGTTGGGGACTTTAGACACAGAGGGGGAGAGAGGTTGTGTGCTGATGACCGGGGGACAGGCTTGTAGTGTATATCCTCTGGTTGGTTGATGATGCATGGAGGGGATTGTAACCATAGCAATTAAATGATAATACGATAGGATGAATGTAAAACTAATGTTCTCCCATGTAAACTATCACATAATTCACAATAAAACATTTAAAAAAAAATACTACCCATAGAGTTTAAAAAGTAAAATGTGTACTAGGGAAAAATATTTTGCATCTACATAACTGACAAAGGAGTAATAACTAAAAGAATAATATCCAAAATTAGTCAGTAAGAAAAAATGGACAAAACAAATGAACAGGCATTTCAAAGAAGAGCAAAAACGAAATGACGATAAATAAAGATACTCAACTTGAATGATTTGACAACTAACTTAAATACAATTAGATAAGATCTAAACAAAGAAAATATGTCAATATTAACATCAGTTTTTCTTGTTGTTAGATGCCACTGAATTGGAACCAACAACTCACAACAAACTTACACAGAACAGAACCAAACACTGCCACGTCCTTCGACAACCGCAAGACAATTGCCACGCTTGAGCTCACGGCTGCTGCCATTGGGCCAATTCATCTCCATAGAGGTCTTCCTCTTTTTGATGACCCTCTATGAAATATGATGTCCTTCTAGGGATGAGGGCCTCCTGATAATTTCTGAAGTATGAAAGACAAAGTTTCACCATCATGGCTTTCAATGAGCATTCTGGCTGCACTTCTTCCAACAGATTGGTTTGTTCTTTTGGCAGTTCATGGTACTTAAAATATTCTTCTCCAACATCATCTCTCAAATGCATCAATTTTTCCACAGTCTTCCTTACTCATTGTCAAACTTGCACATGTTTATGAGGCTATTAAAAATATCATGACATGGGTCAGGTGACCTTAGTCCTCAAACTGACATCTTTGCTCTTCAAAACTTTGAAGAGGTCTTGTACAGAAGATTAGCATAATGCAGTATGTCAGTTGAATTATTGACTGCTGCTTCCATGAGTGTTGATTGTTCATCCAAGCAAAATGAAGTCATTTACTTCAATCTTTTCTCCATTTACTGTGATGAAGAGTTTTTTCTTTGAGGAGAAATGGATACCAAAGGCTGTGGGCTTTGATCTTCATCAGTAAGTATTTTAAGTCTTCTTTGATTTCAACAAGGTTATATCCTTTACATATCACAGATTATTCATGAGTTTTAATCCAATCCTGATGCTACATTCTTCTTCATATAATCCAGCCTCTCAAATTATTTGCTCAGCATATACACTGAATAAGTATAGTGAAATAATACAAGCCTGGTGCACATCTTTCCTAATTTTAAACCAGTCAGTGTTCCCTTGTTCTGTTCATATAACTGCCTCTTGGTCTATATACAGTTTGCTCATGAGCACAATTAAGTATTTCAAAATACTCATTCTCTAAAATGTTTCCATAGGTTGACAGGATCCACAATGCAGACAGCCTCTGCACAGTCAATAAAGCACAGGAAAACATCTTTCTGACATTCCCTGCTTTCATCCAAGATTCATCTGACACAAGCAATGATATTCCTCATACCATGTCCCAGTCTGAATCTAGCTTGAACCTCTGGCAGATACCTATGTAATATTGCAGCCATGCAATACTTACTTGTCATATTAATAATATTGTCCGAAGCTTCTTAATTCCATTGGGTCACCTCTTTTTGGAATGGGCACAAATATAGATCTCTTACAATCAAGTGGTAGTTGTCTTCCAAATATGTTGGTATAGATGAGTGACTGCCTCTAGTGCCGCATCAGTTTGTTGAAAGATTTCAATTAACAGAGCCTTGTTCTTTGCCAAGTCCTTCATTGCACCTTGAAATTCATCTTTCAGTACCATTGGTTCTTGATCATATGTTACCTCTTGAAAAGGTTGAACATCGACCATACCTGTTTGGTGTAAGTGGCTCTGTATATTTCTGCCATCTACTTTCAAAGCTTTCTGCATCATTCAGTATTTTCCCATAGAATCCTTCAATATTTCAAGTTGAGGGTTGATTTTTTTCTTCATTTCTTTCAACTTGAGAAATACTGAGTGTGTTCTTCCCTTTTGGTTTTCTAATACCAGGTCTTTGGACAATTTGTTGTAATATTTGCCTTTGTCTTCTCAAGGTGCTCTTTGAAATTTTTTGTTTAGCTATTTTACTTTCTCATTTCTTCCATTTGTTTTAGCTACTATACACTGGAAAGCAAGTTTCAGAGTCTCTTCTTGACATTCATTTTGGCCTTTTCCTTCCAGTCTTTCAAATGATCATTTGCTTTCTTCTTGTATGATGCTCTTGATATCATTTCATGACTCTTCTGTCATTAGTGTCTAATCCATCTAATCTGTTCTTGAGATGATCTCTAAATTCAGATGGGGTATGTTCAAGGTCATATTATTAATAACTGACTTTGTTTTCTTGAGCTGACCTTTAGAAGTTCAGCTCTTGTGCCTCCTCACTTCTTCCATTCGCTTTAGCATCTCTACAATGGAGAACAAATTTCAGTCTCTTCTGACATCCATTTTAGTCTATTCCTTCATTCTTTTCTTCTTAGTGACCTTTTACTTTCTTCCTGTATGATGTTCTGATGTCATTCCACAATTCTTCTGCGCTTCAGACTTTAGTGTTTAATGCATCAAATCTGTTCTTCAGATAATCTCTAAATTCAGGTGAGATATATTCAAGGTCATATTTTGGCTCTCATGGACTTGTTTTCATTTTCTTCAGCTTCAGCCTGAATTGACATATGAGCAATTGATGGTCTGTTTCACAGTCTGCCTCTAGTCTTGTTTGGCTGATGACATGGAGCTTTTACACCTTCTCTTTCTACAGATGTAGTCAGTTTGATTTCTGTGAATTCTGTCTGGTGAGGTCCATGTGTATAGTCATCTTTTAGGTAGTTTAAAAAAAGGTATTTGCAATGAAGAAGTCATTAGTCTTCCTAAATTCTATCAGGCAATCTCTAGCATCTTATCACCAACGTCATGTTTTCCAACTACTGACCCTTTCTCTTTGTTTCCAACTTTTGCATTCTAATCACCAGTAATTATCAATACATGTTGACTGCATGTGTAATCAATTTCAGAATAAATAAGTTCACAGAATTCTTCAATTTCATCATTACTGGTTTTAGTGGTTACTGCATAAATTTGAATAATAATTGCATTAACTGGTCTTCCTAGTAGACATATGAATATTATCCTGTCATAGACAGGTTTGTACTTCAAGATAGATCTTGAAATGTGTTCTGATGATGAATGCAACTCCATTCCTCTACAATTTGTCAATTCCAGCATACTAAGCCATGTGATTTTCAGATTCAAAATGGCCTATACCAGTCCATTTCAGCTCACTAATGACTAGGTACACCTGACCCAAGCCATGGTATTTTCAATAA